TTTGATATTGACTCTTCCCTATCCATGAGCATGGTATGTTCTTCCATTTGTTTGTGTCCTCTTGATTTCACTGAGCAGTGGTTTGTAGTTCTCCTTGAAGAGGTCCTTCTCATATCCCTTGTGTTGGATTCCTAGGTATTTTATTCTCTTTTAGCAATTGTGAATGGAAGTTCATTCTTGATTTGGCTCTCTGTTTGACTGTCACTGGTGTATAAGAATGCTTGTGATTTTTGCACATTAATTTTATATCCTGAGACTTTGTTGAAGTTGCTGGATCAGCTTAAGGAGATTTTGGGGCTGAGACAATGGGGTTTTCTAAATATACAATCATGTCGCCTGCAAACAGGGACAATTTGACTTCTTCTTTTTCTAACTGAATCCCCTTGATTTCTTTCTTTTGCCTGATTGCCCTAGCCAGAACTTCCAACACTATGTTGAACAGGCGGGTGGAGAGAGGGCATCCCTGTTCTGTGCCAGTTTTCAAAGGAATTTTTCCAGTTTTTGCCCATTCAGTATGATATTGGCTGTGGGCTCGTCGGCAAATAGCTCTTTATTATTTTGAGGTACGTTCCATCAATACCGAATTTATTGAGCGTTTTTAGCATGAAGCGGGCTGTTGAATTTGTCAAAAGCCTTCTTTCTGCATCTATTGAGAATGATGGTTCTTGTCTTTGTCTCTGTTTATGCTGGATTATGTTTATTGATTTGCGTATCGTTGAACCAGCCTTGCATCCCAGGACGAAGTTCACTTGATCATGGTGATAAGCTTTTTACGTGCTGCTGAATCCGGTTTGCCAGTATTTATTGAGGATTTTTGCATCGATGTTCACTGTGGATATTGGTCTAAAATTCTTTGCTGTGTTCTGCCAGGCTTTGCATTTGTATATGTTGGCCTACAAATGAGTTAGGGAGGATTCTCTTTTTCTATTGATTGAATAGTTTTGTAGAAGGAACTTGGTACCAGCTCCTCCTTGTACCTCTGGTAGAACTGTAGCTGTGAATCCATCTGGTCCTGAATTTTTGGTTGGTAGGCTATTAATTATTAAGTTCACTTCAGAGCCTACTATTGGTCTATTCAGGATTCAACTTCTTCCTGGTTTAGTCTTGGAAGAGTGTAAGTGTCCAGGAAATTATCCATTTCTTCTAGATTTTCCTGTTTATTTGCGTAGAGGTGTTTATAGTATTCTCTGATGGTAGTTTGTATTTCTGTGGGGAATGGTGGTGATAACTTTATCATTTTTAATTGGCGCTTCGATTTGATCTTTCTTCTCTCTTTTCTTCTTTATTAGTCTTGAAGTAGTGGTTCAATTTTGTTGATCTTTCAAAAACCACTCCTGGATTCATTGATTTTTTGGAGGGTTTTTTGTGTCTCTATCTCCTTCAGTTCTGTCTGATCTTTAGTTATTTCTTGCCTTCTGCTAGCTGAATGTGTTTGCTCTTGCTTCTCTAGTTCTTTTAATTGCGATGTTAGAGGCCAATTTTAGATCTTCCTGCTTTCTCTTGTGGGCATTTATGCTATAAATTTCCCTCTACACACTGTTTAAATGTGTCCCAGAGATTCTGGTATGTTGTATCTTTGTTCTCATTGGTTTCAAAGAACATCTTTATTTCTGCCTTTCATTTCTGTTATGTACCCAGTAGTCATTCAGAGCAGGTTGTTCAGTTTCCATGTAGTTGAGCGGTTTTGATTGAGTTTTCAAATTTGAGTTCTAATTTGATTGCACTGTGGTCTGAGAGACAGTTTGTTGTAATTGTTCTTGTACATTTGGGTTGAGGAGTGCTTTACTTCCGATTACGTGGTCAATTTTGGGAGTAAGTAATGATGTGTGCTGAGAAGAATGTATATTCTGTTGATTTGGGGTGGAGAGTTCTATAGATGTTCATTAGGTCTGGTTAAAGCAGAGATGAGTTCAATTCTGGATATCCTGTTAACTCTGTCTCATGCTTGATCTGCCCAATGTTGACAGGATATTAAAGTCTCCCACATATTGTATGGGAGTCTAAGTCTTTTGTAAGTCTCTAAGGACTTGCTTTATGAATCCAGTTCCTTGCATTGGGTGCATATATGGCTTATAGAGAGACAGTTAGCCTTCCTGTTGAATTGATCCCTACCATTGCTATGTAAATGGCCTCTTTGTCTCTTTGATCTTTGATGGTTTAAAGTCTGTTTTATCAGAGACTAGTATTGCAACCTCTGCTTTTTTGTGTTCTCCATTTGCTTGGTAAATCTTCCTCCATCCCTTATTTTGAGCCTATGTATGTCTCTGCGTGTGAGATGGGTCTCTGGAATACAGCAGGACTGATGGGTCCTTGACTCTTTATCCAGTTTGCCAGTCTGTGTCTTTTTAATTGGAGCATTTAGTCCATTTACATTTAAGGTTAAGATTGTTATGTGAACTTGATCCTGCTATTAAGGATATTAACTGGTTATTTTGCTCATTAGTTGATGCAGTTTCTTCCTAGCCTTGATGGTCTTTACATTTTGGCATGTTTTTGCAATGGCTGGTACCGGTTGTTCCTTTCTCATGTTTAAAGCCTCAGGGTCTCTTGTAAGGCAGGCCTAGTGGTGACAAAATCTCAAGCACTGCTTATCTGTAAAGGATTTTATTTCTCCTTCACTTATGAAACTTAGTTTGGCTGGATATAAAATCTGGGTTTAAAATTCTTTTCTTTAAGAATGTTGAATATTGGCCTCACTCTCTCTCTCTGGCTTGAAAGAGTTTCTGCTTCAGAGATCTGCTGTTAGTCTGATGGGCTTCCCCTTTGTGGTAACCTGACCTTTCTCTCTGCCGTTCTTTTTGGAGATTTCTTTTCCTTCATTTCAACTTTGGTGAATCTGGCAATTATAGCCTTGGAGTTGTTTCTTCGAGGAGTATCTTTGTGGCGTCACTTCTGGATTTGAAATGTTGACCTGCCCCTACTAGGTTGGGGAAGTTCTCCGGATGATATCCTGAAGAGTGTTTTCCAACTTGGTTCCATTTTCCCCATCACTTTCAGGCACCCCAATCAGACGTAGATTTGGTCTTTTTACATAACCCATACTTCTTGCAGGCTTTGTTCATTTCTTTTTCTTCTTTTTCTTTGGTTTCTTCTCGCTCATTTCATTCATTTGATCCTCCATCGCTGACATTCTTTCTTCCAGTTGATCGAGACGTTACTGAAGTTTTCTGTGCATTTGTCACGTATTTCGTGCCATGGTTTTCGTCTCTTTCATTTCGTTTGTGAGCTTCTGTGGCTTGAATTTCATTTTAGCCATCAATTCTTCCACTTTTTTCAAGATTTTATTTTTCTTTTGCGCTGGGTACGTAATTCCTCCTTTAGCTCTGAGAAATTTGATGGACTGAAGCCTTCTTCTTCATCTGCCGGGTTGGTCATTCAGCTTTGATCCGTTGCTGGCGTATGAGCTGCGCCCTTGCCGGGGGAGATGCGCTATTTTTTGAATTTCCAGCTTTTCTGCCCTGCTTTTCCCCCATCTTTGTGGTTTTATCTGCCTCTGGTCTTGGATGATGGTGATGTACTGATGGGGTTTTAGGAGGTGTCCTTCCTGTTTGATAGCTTTCTAACAGTCAGGATCCTCAGCTGTAGGTTGTAGCTGTAGGAGATTGCTTGAGGTCCACTCAGACCCTGGGTTTGCCTGGGTATCAGCAGAGGCTCAGTTGAAAATGCAGAAACTGCCGGTCTTCTCTGTGCCGCTTCGCGCTTGGGAGTTGGAGACTGGAGCTGTTCCTATTCGCCATCTTGCTCCGCCCTCGTTTATTCTTAATGAGTGATGAATGAATAAGAAGTATTCTTTTTCCTTCTTCTGCCTTCCTTTTGCCATCTGCTTTTAGTCTTCTTCTACTACCACCATGTCAAGTTAACCAATTTGACCTCTGATGAAGCACTTTCACAGGGACATGGCATGGTGGGGGTACTGAGAAAGCATAAGGAGGAGAAAAAATTGCGATTGAAATTAAACTATTACAAATATTTGGTATTTGCTGAGTTCTGGGCCTGTACCATCAACATTTGTTATAACTCATTAGTTACCAAACACTTCTTGCCGTGGGATGTTCTGTGGAAAAGACCTCTTGATACTAATGGTGGCCTCAGTAGAATTTAATTCAAACTTCATTTTCTATTTCCAAGAATAATCGAATAGGTTTAAAATGGGGCAAGCCGGCAGTTTATATTAAAAATGGAATAATAGGACGCTTGTTCTGAGTCTGGAATTAAGGAATTTTTGGTGAGAATCTCTAACTAACGAAGCGAAACCCAAGCAAGATTTTGAAGTGTCTTTTTGATATCAGTTTTTTTTTTTGCATATTATTCTCTTCTATGCTGTTTCCCTGATAATGGCCCCGTCCTATTTAGAGAGTCCCCATTCTGATCTTGTTCACTGTTTCTTGTCTTGTTGGACTAGGTAGTGATGCTGTAAGCAACTTCGGGCCAGTACGGTGCTTCACAATTGTACCAGTCTCCTCTGAGTTGCCCCAGGAGGCTTGCTACACTCACAAACCCATTCAAAAAGGATTCTCCCTAGTACCTTTGTTTACTTTGTCCCTTGTGACTCTGCCTTTTTAGCTAGTACTAGCTAACTTTAGTACTCCACATATTAGAGAACCTAAAGACAGTGAGTTACTATAGAGGGGACTAAAGATATTATATAAAGGTGTTAGTATAAATGTAAGGACTTCAACAAATATACACACTTTCCTAAACACTAAAGGAAAATAAATAGGAAGGAAAAGAGACCACATAGTATGTGGCAAATGTAACATACAACAATATGATAATACTGAAAGCAAACATATCAATAGTATTAATAAAAGTAACGGCTTATCTTGATTACTGAAAGAGATTTTCATATTGACTAACAAAGCTAACCCTACACTATGCTGTATTCAAGAGACACATTGAAATAAGCAAATTCAAAAGTTTAAAACTGAGATACTATTTAGCCCAGGACCTGGTGGCTAGGCTTTATTTTTCCTTTTGAGTCAGAGGCCTCTGCCACAAACATGCTCTTCCAGATTCTCAGTCAGGCCAAGAAGCATCCGAGCTTGATCCCTCTCTTTGTATTTATTGGAGCTGGAGGTACTGGAGTAGCACTATTTGTCTTGCATCTGGCATTGTTCAATCCAGATGTTAGCTGGGACAGAAAGAATAACCCAGAGTCCTGGAACAAATGGGGTCCCAATGATCAAAATGAGTTTTACTCAATGAATATAGATTACAGCAAACTGAAGAAAGAAGGTCCAGATATTTAAATGAAATATTTCAATATAAAGCTGCTTTAGAATGAAAGTCTTCCAGAAGCCATCTGCACAATTTTCTACCTAACCAGGAAATATTTCTCCTCTAGATGTATGAAGTCATGCTGATGTAATGTGTTGGAGAATACACTGATTAATACATAACTGAAACTTGAAACAAACAAAAGGTTAAAATTAAAAGGATGAGTGAATATACAACAGGTAAATGTAAATAAAAATGAAGCAGGAGTTACAATTTTGATATCAGAAAAGGTAGAATTCAGGCCAGAAAACATTAACCAAGACAAAGAAGTACACTTCTTAAAGCTAAAGTCTGCAATTCATAACAAATGACACAATAGCAACAGTTACAAAGGAGATACTACAGGAAATGGAAGGGAAAATAGAGACACTGTAATAACAGGAGACTTTGTCACACCTTTTTATGAAATAGGTAAATAAGTGGACAAAAAATGATAAAAATATAGAAAATACAAACAAAAAATTAATAAGCAACTCGATAGCAATATGTTATTTTTCTCTAAATTAGAGAATATTCCTTGTTCAGTGCACTTGTATATATATAAAAACTAACTCGGCCGGGCGCGGTGGCTCAAGCCTGTAATCCCAGCACTTTGGGAGGCCGAGACGGGCGGATCACGAGGTCAGGAGATCGAGACCATCCTGGCTAACACGGTGAAACCCCGTCTCTACTAAAAAATACAAAAAACTAGCCGGGCGAGGTGGCGGGCGCCTGCAGTCCCAGCTACTCGGGAGGCTGAGGCAGGAGAATGGCGTGAACCCGGGAGGCGGAGCTTGCAGTGAGCTGAGATCCAGCCGCTGCACTCCAGCCTGGGTGACAGAGCGAGACTCCGTCTCAAAAAAAAAAAAAAAAAAAAAAAAAAAACCTAACTAGACTAGACCACAAGTAAAGCCTCAATAAATTCCAGAAAGTAAAATAATTCAAGTAAGATTTTCTAATCAAAATTTAATAAAACTACAAATCTGTAAGAAAATACAAATTTTTTAGAAGATACCAATCCTGTAAAAATTTAAAATTTCCTGGCCGGGCGCAGTGGCTCACGCCTGTAATCCCAGCACTTTGGGAGGCCGAGGTGGGTGGCTCACAAGGTCAGGAAATCAAGACCATCCTGGCTAACATGGTGAAACCCCGTCTCTAACCAGGCGAGGTGGCGGGCGCCTGTAGTCCCAGCTATTTGTTAGGCTGAGGCAGAATGACGTGAACCCGGGAGGCGGAGCTTGCAGGGAGCCGAGATCACGCCACTGCACTCCAGCCTGGGTGACAGAGCAAGACTCCGTCTAAAAAATAAATAAATAAATACACAGATAGATAAATAAATAAATTTTAAACTTTCTATGAACAACTCTTGGATCAAAGAGGAAACATAAATCAAAGCTGCAAAATTTACGGAAAATAAAAACAAACACATAAAGTAAATCTATGGAAAACTGTTAAAGTAGCAAATTTTCTTAGGAAAATTTGTATCCTTTAATATCTATATCAAAGATGATAAAATAAATAAATTAAAATTTTAACCCCAAAGCTAAAAGTGCTCAACAAAGCAAATCAAAAGAAAGATAAAAGGAAAAATTAATAAAGATAAAATTAGAAATGAATTAGAAAAGAGAAAAACAGACAGAAAATCAGAGAAATGAATAAATTGATTATTTGAAAAAAAAAAATAAAACCTAGACAACTAAATTTAGTTAAGGAAAGGCACCAATTAAGAATAATAAAGAAGAAATTATCCAATGAAACAGAGAAAAACTTTAAAAAATCACTATCATGCAACTATATAAATAATATTAAAAACTTAGGTAAAATTAAAACTGTTTAGGAACATATAATGACCCAACCTAACCCCAGTAGTAAAGAAAGTCTAAACAAATCAGTTATTGCAGACAAAATAGAATCTTGAGCATTTTCCTCAATGAAAAGACAGGGGCTACTAGATGATTTCATAGGGTATTCTACCAAGCTTTTAAAGTTTAGATACCAATTTTTCTTAAAGTGTTCCAGATAGAAAAAGAAGGGAAACTTCCAGATTTCCAGTTCTATAAACATGATATTCATATCAACCTCTGATAATGATTGTACAAAAATGAACTAATAAAACATACTTACTAATGTTGATCAACAAATCTTAAAAACAGTAACAAATAGAATCTATCAGCACATTAAAAAAAATACATAATATCCAAGTGTAGTTCAATGAAAAATATAAAGATGGTTCATATAATCATCTCCATGAATATGGAAAAGACAGACAATATTAAACACCGATTTCTCATTTTAAAAAATTCAATAAAATAAGAATTATTAGTGTATTAGTCCATTCTTGCACTGCTATAAATACCTGAGCCTGGATAATTTATAAATAAAATAGGTTTTCTTGGCTCACGGTTCTGTAGACTGTACAGGAAGCATGAAGCTGGCTTGGCTCCTGTGAAAGCCTGGGGAAACTTACATCATGGAGGAAGCAGGAGAGGGAGCAGGCACTACTTACAAGGCAGGAGTAGGAGTAAGAGAGAGGGAGGAGGAAGGTGCTACCCACTTTGAACGACCAGATCTCATGAGAACTCAGTATCAAGAGAACAGCACCGAGGGGATGGGGTTAAACCATTCAGGAAGGATCTACCCCCATGATCCAATCACCTCCCACCAGGCCCCACCTCCAACACTGGGGATTACAATTTCACATGAGATCTGGGCAGGGACAGAGATCCAAACCATATCAAATTGGTTATTTTAAAATACGAAATATGGCCATGCATGGTCCTCATGCCTATAATCCCTGCACTTTGCGATGCCAAGGTGGGTGGATTGCTTGATGCCAGAAGTTCGAGACCAGCCTGGCCAATATGGTGAAAGCCCGTTTCTACTAAAAATACATAAATGTTAGCTGGGAGTAATGATTTGTGCCTGTAGTACCAGCAGCTGGGGAGGCTGCTGTGGGAGAATCACCTGAGCCCGAGGTTGTCAAGGCCGCAGAGTGAGCTGTGATCATGCCACCGCACTCCAGCCTGGATGACAGCAGAGCAAGACCCTTTCTCAAAAAAAAAAAAAAAAAAAAAAGAAGAAGAAGAAGAAAAAGAAAATGAAAAGAAATATGCATTTCTTAGCATGAAAAACAGTTTCTTACTAAATGAAGCATTAAGTCCCACTAACATCAGGTATTATCGTGGCATTAAAGAACAAGAAGGAAACATGGATGAATAACTTTATAATCTTTAAGTAGGAAAAAATCTAACTGTCTCAAAATTCGGAAGTCATGAAGAAAATATCAATATATAATATGATATGTTAAAAATCCTATGCATGGCAAAAAAAAGAAAAGGAAAACAGCACAAGGGAAATATATGTATGCATTTTTTACCAAAAAATCTAATATTTAAAAATTTCCAAGATGGAAAAAGAGATCAACAATCCTACAGCAAAATGGGCAAAATATATGAACAAATATTTCACAGAAGACATGAAAATGACTCTTAAACACACAAAAATGTGCACTAATATATTTAATATACAAGCAATGCAAATTAAAATTCTCCAAGATATGCTTCTTACATTACAGACTGACAAAATTCAAAGTTCACTGCCTTCTCAACTGATAAGACTGTGAGGAAACAGACACTTTGTTTTATATTGTTAATGAGAATGCAAAGTAAAACAACTTCTATAGAGAGGAATTTAGTAACAGGTAGCAAAATTACATATACATTTATCCTTTACTTAGCAATTTCATTTCCAGGAATCTACCTCAACATACATTTAAGTATAATATGGTAAAAATATGAAATAATTTGTTCACATGAAATGAAATGATTTAAAGTTATTCACTCTGTTATTATTTGTAATAGCAAAATATAAGAAATTAATGTGTGCCAAGAGAGGACTGGTTGAATAACTTATTATTCATCTGTACAGTTGGACACTATGAAGATATAAAAGGCAAATTTATAGAGACAGAAAATAGATTAGTGGGACTGGGGATAGTAAAATGGATTAACTGTAAAAGGGAATTAGAGGTCTTATTTGGTGATGAAAATGTCCTAAAACTGGATTAAGAATGTGCACCTTAGAAATTTACTAAAAACCATCCAATTGTATACTTAAAGTGGGTCAAGTTTATGGTGTATAAATTGTAACTCAGCAAAACATCCATAGGCTACGATAGAATGATCTCTTGCATATATTAAGTGAAAAAATCAAGAAGAAGAATAGTATATAGAGCATATAGATTTTCATCGCTTTTAGATATTTTTAATGAACAGGGCAAGGAAATATGTATTTTTGAAAAATAAAAACTATCATGAATTCATGTTGACATTTTCAGTGTAAATTTAACATTAAAGAATTTGTACTTTCACTTTACATTTTTTTAAATTAGAACTTGAGATCTACCCTCTTAGCAACTTTTAAAAGTGAACAGTACAGTATCATTTACTATAAGCCCATTGTTGCACTGCAGATCTCTAGAACTCTTTTGTCTTCCATGAGTGAAACATTATATTCATTGGACAGCAACTCACCACTTCCCCTTTCTCCCAGTCCCTGGCCCAGCATTCCACTTACTGCTTCAACGAGTTTGACTACTTTAGATGCCTCATATAAATGTATTCATGTAATATTTGTCCTCCTTTGATCGTCTTATTTCACTTTGATGGACTAAATTTAGCATGTCTTATAAGGTAGGTCTAATGATGATGACCTCCCTTGCTTTTGCTTTTCTGGGAGAGTTTTTTCCTTCATTTTTGGAGAAAGGTTTTGTCAGATATAGTATTCATGGTTGGCAGCTTTTTTTCTTTAGGCACCTTGAATATATCATCTCATTCTCTTCTTGCCTGGAGGTTTCTGCTTAAAAAAAAAAAATCCACTGACCCTCTTACGAAGTTCCCTTGTATGTGATGAATCTTTTTTTTTTTTGGCTGCTTTCAAAATTCTGTCTTTAGACTTTTGACAATTTGATTATAATGTGTCTCAGTGTAGATTT